TTTGATCAGACATTGCTTGATAGAGAAATGGAACACTTACGAACTTTCTCTGCCTTGAGAATACAAGAAGAATCCTTCTTTAGGCAGCAGTCCAGAATTAGTTGGCTCAAGGAGGGTGACTTGAATACTAAATTCTTTCACCATTTTGTCAACAAAAGGCGGTTACAAAATCGAATACTCTCGGTGACTATAGAAGCTGGGGTTACAGTAACCAACCCACAGGCTGTTAGGAATCACATTGTTGGCCATTTTCAGGAGCTTCTCAATGGTAATTCTGCTTCTATTCAGCCTTCTGTATTGGAGATAGGTGACTACATTGGTCGGGTCTTAGATGAGAACCAAAGACACACCCTAGCTCAGCCGGTTTCGGATGGGGAAATTCAGTCTACCATTTTCTCGCTCGCTAAAGGCAAAGCTCCTGGGCCGGATGGATATAACGTTGATTTCTTCAAATCCTCTTGGGACATCACTGGACCATCCATTCTCATGGCGGTAAGGAATTTCTTTGAGTCCGGTTGCATGCTCAAAGAGATCAACAATACCATCCTAACTCTTGTGCCGAAGTCCCCTAATGCCTCGGCCATGAACGATTTCCGTCCAATTGCATGTTGCAATACCATATACAAACGTATTTCTAAAATTCTGGCTCGGCGTATTGCACATGTTCTTCCAACTTTGATTGGCCCTCTCCAAACGGCCTTTGTTAAAGGACGCAGAATTAGTGACAACATCATGATTGCTCAAGATTTGTTTGCGGACTTTCATCACGAGGCCTACCTTCCTAAATGCGCCATCAAGGTGGATTTTCAGAAAGCATATGACACTGTTGACTAGGATTTTATTGAAAAGGCTCTAGTTGCCTTTAAATTTTCGGAGTTCTTCATCAAGCTGGTTATGGCGTGTGTCTCAACAGCCAAATTTTCCGTTTCAATCAATGGGGAATTACATGGGTTTTTTGCTAGTTGCCGAGGTATTCGACGAGGCGACCCGCTCTCTCCTTACCTGTTCATCCTGGTTATGGAAATCTTCTCCGGTATTCTAAAGGCAAAAATAGCCTCTTCGGACTTCCATTGGTTCTGGCGCTGTAAAAAGACCCGCTTATCTCATCTATTTTTTGCGAATGACGTTCTCTTATTTTCAGAAGCTCACCTCAGGTCGGTTGAAATAATCAAGGCTTCTCTTGATTTGTTCTCTGACTGGTCTGGACTGAAGCCGAATACTAGGAAAAGCAACATCTTCTTCTCGGGAGGGACTCCGGTTCTTCATGGCCAACTTATTCAATGCCTCGGCTTCCAACAAGGTACACTTCCTTTTTGTTATCTAGGCGTGCCCATTATCTCGTCTAGACTACGTAAAGAGGATTGTAAATCCTTGATTGATGCTATAACTGCTAGGGCAAGGTCCTGGACTCAGCGTTTCTTGTCCTTTGCCAGTCGACTTCAGCTAATCAAGTCAGTCCTTCATTCCATTCAAGTGTATTGGGCAACTATATTCTCTATCCCGAAATCAGTGTTATATAAAATAGAGGCCATATTGCGGCAATTTCTATGGAAAGGTCCTGATCTAGGTGTGGGAGGAGTTAAGGTAGCGTGGAACGCTGTTTGCCTACCAAAAGAAGAAGGTGGTCTTGGGATTCGGCGTCTTGTAGACCACAATAGAGCCATGACTCTTAAACACATATGGCTTCTTTTTTCTGATAAAGAATCTATGTGGTGCAAATGGATACATTTAAATTTCTTAAAGAAAAACTTTTGGGTCGTATCCAAACCTACGTTTTGTTCTTGGACATGGAAGAAAATCTTGGATATGCGAGCCTCCGCTCAAGCTCTCTTTCGGTGGAAGATTGGCAATGGACACTCGGTATCCTTCTGGTTTGATTGGTGGCATAACAAAGGCCCTCTCTACCTTATTTTCAGTGATGTGGACATATATCAGTCGTGGATTCCCCGGGACACTTCGGTTCGAGACTTCTATGATCGTGTATGGCAACCTTCAGCCACTTTGGATTCTATCTTGAACTGGCCGGAACTACCACCAACCTTTGTGCATCTTTCTCCGGACAAGATGACATGGACCTCACATCCATCAGAATCTTTCTCTGTTGCGCTAGCATGGAATCATATCAGGAGAAAAGGGCATCCAGCACTTTGGCACTCATTCATTTGGGACCACCATATTACCCCCCGACATTCCTTTCTTTTATGGTTAGTCTCTCTTAATCGGCTGCCTACTCAGGTTCTCCTCTTACAAAACCGCAGGATTGGCTCAGCAATGTGCGCCTTTTGTAGTACCACACCAGATTCGGTAAACCACCTGTTTTTTGGCTACACTTCTACAAGTAGGCTGGCTTCTCTTTAGGCAATAAAATGCAACCTCCCATGGCGCAACTGACCTTGGCAAGAGCATATTCAGTGGGCAATGAAAGTCTGCGGTGGTCCTTCTTTTGCTCACCGCCTATCTAGATTTTCATTCGGCGCCTTATGTCATATCATTTGGATTGAAAGGAACAATTCTCTCTTCAGGAACAAGAATGTCTATATCCCGGGTATGCGCAAACATCTTATCAAAGTGGTGAAGGATAAAGCCATATCCTTTGGGGGAATTGCGGACACTCCAATGAACCGGCGAATACAAAGGAATTGGGGACTTGCTCCTTCAATCTTCGAAGCAATGCCGATGGCCTCTTAGACTCGTTGTACTAGCTTTTTTGGTTCTTGCTTAGCCTCTTTGTGGGCTTGATGTATAGTTCTTGCTAAGCCATCTCTGACCCCACGTGGACATCTCTTTGTCCTAGTTGGGTCGGCGGTTGCCGAGGCGCTATTTTGTATAT